TCACTTCTCCCTCTCTACCCCTACCTTACTACTTCCCAACTTTTTGTCCTCCATTATTATTTTTAAGACCTGTCAAGTCTAATTTGTGCTCCCCAAGTGCTGTTGAGTATGGGTCCATCCTCTGGAGCCTGGTCAACCTACCCAGCATCATACCCTTAAAGAAAATAGACTCTTCCTCTTCCAGAAGCAATCAATTGCCAATAGTTCCTCAGCTAGGACTAGAGCTTCTTGCCCATCTTCTCCATCCATGCTGAGATATGGTCTGGCTTGGGGTTGGAGAGGTCCTGTGTATGCCATCACAAGTGCTGTGGGTTCATATGTACAACTACCCTCTGGTGTCTGGAAAATACAGTTTTCTTGTACTTATGCACTGCCTCTGGCTATTACAATCTTCCTGCCTCCTCTTCCACAGTGATCCCTGAGCCTTGAGGGTAGAGAGTGTGATATAGGAGTTCCATTTAGGGCTCAGCACTCTGCAGTCTCTTAGTCTCTGCATATTGATTAGTTGTGGGTCTCTGTGTTAAATGACAACTGCTGCCGGGCATGGTGGCTCATGCCTTTAATCCCAGCACTTGGGAGGCAGATGCAGGCAGATCTCTGTGACTTCGAGGCCAGCCTGGTCTACATAGTGAGTTCCAGGCCAGCTGGGGCTACAGGGAGACCCTGTCTCAAAAAGCCTCCCCACCAAAAAAGACATCTGCTGCAAAAAGAAGCTTCTCTGGTGAGAGACGAGAGATACATAACTATGGACATAACAAGAAATCATTAGGAGTCAGTTTAATGCTATGTCCATATAGGAGAATAATAATGATAGAGTCTTTTCTACAGGCTGTGATCTGTCTAGCCATAGGTTCTTGTACCTGATAACAGTGCCAGGTACCAAGTATGGGCTCCATCTTACGAATTGGGCCTTAAATCCAATCAGAAAGTGGTTGGTTACTCCCAGAACGTTCATGCCACCATTGCACTAGTGGACACATCTTATGAGGCCAGTTGCTATTGTAGCCCTCAGGGTTCACAGCCGGGTCAGGTTGATGATTACTTTTCTCTTCCAGTAGCATGCATAACACCTTCTAACAGTGAAAGCTAGCCAGTGTAGCTGAAGCTTTGAGGTGAGTACCAGTTTGATTCTCCATGTTTCAGCAATACTTTGCCACAAGTTCTGGGGGGAAACCAAGTGCAATGGCAAGAGCCATTTTTGTTTGAGGAGCTATGGTTACCGGTCAGTAACCATAAAATAGGGAGTCTCTTTCTGGCATTGGGCTTTTTTATTTTCTACCTTGAGGTGTCTGGTAGGGGCACTGTCCCTCTGTTATAGGGTAAGTCCATTTAAACTCTTTATACTATATATATATTTTAAGACTCTTCTATAGTAGGTTTCTATATGACTTTTTCAAACGATCCCTAGTGTTAATTATCTCTCCCACACTCTCCTCTACTCTGCTCACCTATTTCCCACTCCATGTAACCCTTCCTATTCCATTATTCTCCTTTCCCCCTTTATATCACTACATTCTATCCATGAAGCCCTACCCCTCATGGCCCCTTACTAATTTCTTGACCTCTATGGGTTTTCCAATGGAAATACACATATCTAAAGATTTAAAGCTATAGTCATAAAAACAGCATGGTACTGGTATACAAACAGACACATTGATCAGTGGAATAGATCTGAGGGCCTATATTTAAGTCCATGTATTTATAGCGACTTTTTTGACAAAGAGACCAAGAATATATACTGGAGAAAGGATAGCATCTTCAACGAATAGCACTGGTCTAGCTAGACAGCTTTGCAGAAGAATGAAACTAGATCCCTGTCTTTCAGCCTGCACAAAACTCAACTCTAAATAGATCAAGGAATTCAGCATAACACTGGATACTCTGAATCTGATAAAGGAGAAAGTAGGAATACACCAAAACATAGAGGCACAGAGAAGGGCTTTCTGAACAGGACTCTGATAGCACAGGCATTAAGACCAACAATTAACAAATAGGAACATATGAAGCTAAAAAGCTTCTTATACAGCAAAGAACACCCATCAGTAGAGTGAAGAGGCAGTCTATAAAATGGGGGGAAAACTTTACTAGTTATATATCTGACAGAGAGTTAGTATCTAGAATATGTGAACTCAAAAAACTAAACTTTTTTTTAGAAGAAGCATTTCATTACAGTTTTAACATACTCAATAACAATTTCCAGAGCAAAGATACATCTCTTTCAAAAGTGACTATAAAAATTTTAGGTTCACAGTTGAATTAATACAGTTATACAATATTGAACTCAGTATAAACCCTGTAAGTCATAAAATTGAATGAGTTTTTAACCTTTAAAAAAGATCTCCATTTCATTTTAAAATACACTGTTTCTTACAGAAAGACTCATTATTTTTGCTAATAACACTTAGATGTTGGTGCATCTGTCTCTAATCTGTATGAATCTGATTATTGCTAGTCATGGTCAGTTCCACTTGGATCCTTGGCACCTGTGTATGGATATAAAGTCATCAGGTAGATTTCAATGGTAATGTTTAGAACAGGGCTGGAGAGATGGCTCGGCAGTTCAGAGCGTTTGTTGCTCTTGCAGAGGACCTGGATGTAGCTCCCAGCACCCATATCAGGCAGCTCACAACTGCCTGTAACTCCAATTTCAGGGACTCTGCCACCCTCTTCTGGCCTCTGTGGGTACCTGCACTATACACATGATACACACACACACACACACACACACACACACACGATATATATGTATATATATATTTAGCAACACATATACACATAAAATGAAAGTAAATAAATCTTTAATAAAAAAAATTTAACAACCTAAGAGGGAGGAAAAGGAAATTAAGCAAATCCAGATCTGAACCCCTTATCTACCAAAAACCAGAGAAATGATATAACATTTAGTGGACAGAAGGGCTTGGAGACCTTTGGTTAAGGGGTCAGGTTATTTACAAAGCCTTGTTCTTATTCTTATTAACATAACCAGTAAGTGGGGCGTTCTTAATGTCCATTCAGAAATTACAACACACCACAAATAGTCTTTTATGTCTCAGTTGATGAAACCATAAAGAGGTCGTTATTCTACAAAATGGCTTTTCACGGAAACCTAATTCAATTTTAAGAAAATGAATACGATGGAAAACACCTGTCCCTCCTCTTCAATAGGTCTGTCCTCCTCCCACTCCCACTCTGAGTCAAACTTCCTTTATCGTCCCCTAAAAGGCCTCAGGAGTTTCCAGGTTTCCTCAACAAACAATTGTCCCTCATTGTTTGGTCTGCAGCTTCTGCCAGAGAGAGACTCATCTGGGGCTGATTGAGCGTGCAATAAACTATGGAAAGTTACAACTGTGGTGAGATGCACTGGGAGTCATCGAAAAATTTTTGACATCAAAGGCAAAACCCCATCAAGCCAGAAATACAAAGTATTGCTTTGGCTAGAGCTGGAGCTGACTGTCCTCCGCAGTAGAGCTGGGAAGCTGGGAGCGCTGCCGGATTTCTCCATGATCGCTGCTCGTTTGCCTGAGTTTATCTTCTTTTTTTTTTATTGTTCTTTTTGAGACAGGGGTCTCCCTGTAGCCCCAGCTGTCCTGGAACTCACTATGTAGACCAGGCTGGCCTTGAACTCACAGAGATCTGCTTGCCTCTGCCTCCGGAGTGCTGGGATTAAAGGCGTGTGCCACCATGCCCGGCTGAGTTTATCTTCTTTTTAAAAACAATTTTTAAAATATTTTATTTATTACTTTTTATTTTATGTGTATAAGTGTATTGCATATATGTATGTAAGTGCGCCCATGTCCTGCAGTGTCCACAGAGGTCAGAAGAGGATGTTGGATTCCCTTGGAACTGGAGTCATGGACAGTTGTTAGCCACCAGATGGGTGCTGGGAACTGAACCTGAGTCCTCTGTAAGAGCAACTAATGCTCTTAACTGCTGAGCCAACTCTCCAGCCCCATGAGATTTTCTTCTTAAATGGCTATTTTACAGTCCATTTGTAGAAGATGATGTCTGTTCACCCATATGAAACTCAAGGACTTTTTATGCAGTATAACAATGAAGTTGTTGAAAGAAGATAGAAAAATAATAAATAATATAAATAGTACATTTATTGAGCCCTGGATATGAAACAGATAAACTCGTCACATGAATTACTGTGCACTACCACTATGATGGCATTATTAATCCTTTCAGAAAGCCGAGGAACTGAAAACAGTAACTTGCCCCGAGTATGCATCTCGTAAGAATGCCAAAACAGCCAAGTCTCCACCATCTCAGCCAGACAAGCCACCACTGTCAGGTCATAGTGACTGTCATCCTAGTTGATCTTAACTCGGTAATTCACCAATTGCTTATTACTAGAGTGACTACAAATTTGCCTTCCAAATGCACCATTTTTGAGAATGAAAGTGGGAACTAATAAAAATCATGCCAGGGCAACAGAGATCAATGGACACTGTTCTAGGCAAATGTAGACTGTAGTCAACCTAATAATTAAAAATCTAGAACGTTTTTTTGGAAATAATGCTAACATGTGGGATTACAGTTCCAAAATAACCATTCTTCTCATTTCTCTCAAGGTTTTTCTTCATACCCTGCAGGCCACAATTGCCTTCACAATAAAATACTGAGGCAAAATGGTCTGTGCTCCAAAATGATAACATTTCTCTCTATGTTGAAAACTCCAATATTAACAGGCAGGCTTAAAATATATATGTATATAATTTATATACTTTATATACATATATATGTACGTCAGGTATACATGATGCTGAAAACATTTTCCATGCCACAGCCTGAATGTGGAGGTCAGAGGACAACTGGTGGGAGCTGGTTCTCTCCTTCCACTATGTGGGTCCTGGGGAAAGAATTCGGGTTGTCAGGCTTGGTAGCGAGTACCCCAAGACACTGAGGCAGCTTGCTCAGTCTTAACTTTTGTTATATGGCACAGAATAGTACATACAAGATTGTTAATTCAGGTAAAAATGTTTTTTATTTATTTCCAGAGTATCTATGTGCTTTTCTACGAACGCTTATACACACAAAATCTGCATCGAGGAAGGAAAGAGTCTCAAAATCTGAGTCAAAGAAAGATGGGATTTACAGTGTGTCTTTTTGTTCATAATGAGTTTTTTGCTGAAAGAATATTTTATTTCTCAAATGAAAAGGAAAACTAAAACCATAAGTTCCTTCCATTCACTAGGTCAGCAGAACATTATTTTAATCAGCACACATTTTTAAAAGACAAATAAGTTTGTTTCAGAAAAACATTATTAACAGTTTTAGAGACGAATCTTTGATTGGTGGAATTTTAGCAACATAAAAGAAAAAAGTGAAAAGAATTCACACAGTCAAGACGTTTGAGGGCAGAAATGCCCGTTCCTGTAACTGTCTCTGAAGCTGGTTACTTCCTAGTGCCTTCCTTTTTTTCCATGTATGACTTCACATAATTTTCAAAAATAGGCATTAAAAATGCTTAGCCTCCGACATTATGTGGAAGAAAAAAATTGTAAAATAAGCAACCATTTCCAAATGTAATTTTCAAGCACAAGAATGTATTTGCTTAATTTAGAGCCTCAAGGCATGTGGGCTTTTCTGCACTTTAGTTACATACACAAAATTTCCATCACTTAAACTCCTCAAATAATAAAAGGATCAGTGAATCACAGTTTGGCCATATGCTTTGAGATACTGCCCCACAGAACTGGGTTGTCATGCCAGTGCCTTTAAATGTTACACCATCCAGGAGAGGCCGTCAGCAGCCCTGACGATCCAGTGGCACTAAGGATACACCATGGGAGTGAACAGATGTCTAGCTTCTCGTGGAACCTTCCTCTTTCCTTTATTACTATTAATGGAGCCTTCACCTCTTTTGGAACGGTCATTTTTTCTTCTTAAAAGACTTCATCTTTCACCCAAGTTCTCTTGAAGCTAGGCATAACCATGTGACAAAGATTTAGTCAGTGACCTGTGAGTAAAATGGTCTGACACATTTCTCCTTAAATGGAGATAATCAAGCCAGGTGAGGTGCCTTTTGTCCTCCCCTTTTCTGTGTTATGATTAGAGACAATTCATGGTGGCTAAAAGGGACATTATTATGTAAGAATGGGGAGAGCAGAGAGATGGACAGAGTATGGGTCCCTGAGACTGGGAATCTATGGTATGAGCCCTGAATAGGCAGGGGTAGGATCTCTTTATATACAAAATAACCCTTGTAGAGTAGGTGTGGGGGCTCATGCCCATAATTCACCACTGAGAAGGCTAAAGCAGGAGCCAGAGTTGAAGACTAGCTGGGGTCCAGAGTGAGTTTAAGGTCACCCTGGGCTTTGTAGTGAGACATTGGAGAGAGAGAGAGAGAGAGAGAGAGAGAGAGAGAGAGAGGAAGAATAAGAAATTTCCCTTGTATGTTTAAGCTACCAAAGTTAAGTCTTTGTCATTGACAACTAAATGCAATTTTTAACCAAACCACTTCTTTCCTTTAAGAGAACAAAATATCACAGCAGGGACTAGAGAGATGACTCAGTAGTTAAGAGCTCTTGTACAGGTCCAGAGTTCAGTTGCCAGCACCCATGTTAGGCAGCTTGCAACTGCCTGTAACTCTAAATCCAGGGGCTCCAATGCCCTATGGTCTCTGTGGGCATCCACAATATAGAAAAATCTTTAAAATTATATAGTGTCTTGGGGCTGAAGAGATGGCTCAGCAGTTAAGAACACTGACTGTTTTTGCAGAAGACCCAGGTTTGAATCTCAGCACCCACATGACAACTAACAACTGTCCGTAATTTTGCCCTCCACAGGCATTGCACAACACGGGTGCTCTTACCTACATGCAGGCAATACACGCATACACATAAAATAAAAATAATAAATAAAATATATTTTAAAATTATGTATTGTCTTAAGATGAGCTTCATGCATCACAGTTCCTGATCTGTGTCCTGTATCCTGTCTGGCTTTTGTCTTGTTTTACTTTTCATTAACTCTATTTTTTAAATATTTTATTTATTCTTTTTATTTCATGTGTATGAATGTACTGCCTGTATGTATGTAAGTGCAACCATGTTGTGCAATACCCACCAAAGTCAGAAGAGGGCATTGGATCCTCTGGAACTGGAGTTTTGGACATTTGTTAGTCATCATATGCGTGCTTATGACTGAATCCATGTCTTCTGGAAGAACAGCCAGTGCTCTTAACTGCTGAGCCATCTTTCCAGTCCCTAATTCTATTTTTAAAAGAATCTTCAGTTTTTAAAAAATAATCTATGGACTGAATCTTCAGCTCCTTATACTGTAGAAAAGTTTCTATTCTTTAGGAACAACCCATCTTTCGATTCCAAGGAACCTCAATTAATAATCATTTTTCTCCAAGATGACTCTAGGGGACACTTACTCAGACATTGTGACTGTCGCTGCAATTGCTGAAACTGAAGTTATCGACACAAATGGACTTTCTCACTTGTTTATTTTCCATGTGGGGTGTCCCATTGAAACAAATCCATTATGAGTCCCCAGGCTCTGAATGCATGCTGCTGTTTATAGACGTTCTTTGAAACTTCTTGCGTCTTTCCTTGGTAGAGGAGAGGAGGGAAAGGCTCAAATAATGAGGAAAAAAATAAGAAAAGGAAAAAAAAAAAAAAAGAAACAAAATAAAAACCACATTTCTAACAAAAAGATTTTTGAAAGCTTTGCAAAATGTTGTGTTCACTTACATAAGGTCCCACTGTTTTAAACATATTTTACTATAATTTTTCCTTCAAAATCCTGACATGCGAAGTTGAACAGGGCTCTTTCAGTGTACAACCCCAGGACATGGAGAAATAAAAAGAGCAGTATTCCAACGAATGCAAACTCAGTGGGAATCATAATATCCCATAATTGCTTGAAATCCACAAGCTGATCCGATGTCATCTTCGGAAATATGCAAGTATCCCTTTGTTTTCTGATTTAGAGATATTTCCTTGCTTTAGGACTTAACCCTTCGGCTGCTGCTCCTTGTTACCGAAACATGATTAAAATGAATGTGCAGCTTCCCTTCCTAAGCCCATCCCAAACACTAGCGTGAAGGTCCTCCCAGTCTGTCAACGTTTGTTCTAACAGAAACAAAATATAAACTTCAAGAGCTACCTTTACATCTTTTCTTTCTTCATCTATTTCTAAACAACACACGAACACAACACACCACCACAGAGACATACACCACACATACATACATGACACACACACCCATAAACACACTACACATATATACCACATACATGACACAAATCCCCAAATACACCACATACACATTTATATACTATACATACACACACACCACAGCACACACATTCATCACACACACTACACAAATACATGACACAGCATACATGTGCTTACACCACACATATATGCACCACACGCGTATACACCATACACACACACCACACATGATACATACCCCTATACTTACACTACACACACAAACCACATACACCCCCATATGTATATATACACACCCTCATACGTACACGTACATATACACATGCATACAACAGACACACACACACACACAACTTCAAAATGTTTTTTCTGAAACAAACTTTAGAAGAATAAAGAATTGCCATTTCAGAGCATGTGATGGCATGTTTAAAAGTTCATCAACTTCCCCCTTAAGAAAAAAAAACAAAACTGGCAATGAATCGAAAACAACAATTTAAGAAGATTTAGAGAAAAAAAATCCAAAAGACTTCTTCCTCTGTAACATGATGTAAATCAAAAATATACCAATGGTCTGGAAGTGATTACCACAGCCTATGCGAGGAAATAGTCCTAAGCAGACACTGCCAACCAGAGCCCCCCGCTGCTGCCATCAGAGCATGAGGGTTCCGGAAGGTGAGGGCTTACCGCTGCTGAGAGATTCTCGCCACTACCGAGTCCTGTGTGTGCAGACCCCAGAGCCCTCACCACAGAGGCTTGTCCTTCCTCTCACTCAAGATGAACGAGTGGTCCCTCCACCTTTCCCCACTGTGCCTGATGTTTCTGAAATGTCCTTGTCCTTGACCTTCCTAACAGAATCCCTGCAAGAAGGGGAGGAAGCCTTATGTAAACAGCTCGTTCCACGAAGCACCCGGCCCCTGTCCAGCCTTCTCAGTTGCAGTCAGAAAGTGTTTCTTTGTTTTGTCTTTCCCCACAACCTTTTCCTGAGGGTAAAGTTTGAACTCTTTCACCATCCTCAAAGTGATTCCACACTTAGGTTGGAGATTCAGTTCACAGAACATCAAAAATTACGTTTTTCTTGATGGTGAAGCATTAGGAGAGATGGCCAGCCAGCTCAAAGGGACTCTGCGATGCCATTTTATAATTAAGCAGAGCACCCGCTGGACCGCATGTTATAACAGATGTTTCCTGGCCCCAGGTACTAAGCCAGCACACAGCAAAACTGCCCAGAGTCGGGCTCAGCCAAGATGGGTCACTGTCTGGAACAATTCTTGTCTAGTGTCTCTTACTGTAATTAGAGAATGAGACTAGCTTGTGGTCATTAATTCCATTTGAAAAATAGCCATGTCTAAATTAAAAATGTAAAAAAAAAAAAAAACCAGAGTCCTTTCAACATTGAAAAGCTGGACAAGGAAATTGATAATTTATTGATGATTTATTATTTCTATTAGTGTTTTAGTCCTGGCATAAATTCTGCATGATGCCCTCCCTTCAACACAATTTGGAGAATTTTCACTCCATTTATAAAATGGCTAAAATTAGTGGCGCCTTATGCTTAGGCAGGAAAGGAATTTATGGATTGGTTAGCACCAGGAAATCAAACTCAGAGCTGTGAGGAGGCCAGTTGGTAAATGAACAAAGCAACCACGGCAAGAAAGATTATTCTGCCACTTCTTTCTAGTTTAATTTAATTTTATTATTTTCAAAAGGCGACCTGGGGATCAGAAGGCTCTTGCCTCTGAAGAGCCAACAGCCTAGCAAGGCTGGCATTCAGATGGCGGGTGGTCCATATGCCGCTCACCTCATGGTGTACAGATGCAGCTTGCTCTAAGTCCGTCCGGCAATGCCCACACCGTGCTCTCCTCCAGCAGCTCCAGGTCCTCCATATGACCACCTGGAGCTGGGCAGAGAACCTCCTGGGTGCCACTCCCTCACAGAGGACAGAGCCCATCTCATATTGCTTAAACATGTTTTTCCCCAATACAAGTGCATTGACAAATAGCGACTGGTATTTTATGTCTGAGCAAAGCAGACAATATTGCCTTTGGGGCAACAGAAATTGGTAAGCACCCTGGGAACAGCAGGGTCTGAGCCCTGTTAAAGGAGGCTGCTACTGCAAATGGAGCGGGAGTGGGCCTTGTGTGGCCACATCTTCTGACTCTTCCTGGACAAATGAAAACCTATGTTCTTACTTAAAGTTTCCTAACTAAATTGCCTGTGGCCTCATTTAAACATTGTTAGGAGGGACAAACATATCCTACATAGTCTGAGTTTATGATATTTCCATTCTTGAGACAGGATAATAGTTAAGTATCTGTGACTTGCTCAAACTCACTCAAGGAGATAGTTTCAGAGTCAGAGTTAGAACTAGGAGCTCTAGTCCCCATCCAGTGAAATATGAGTCTCTTCAAAACAGGCCCCACAGTGCCACAGAAGTCCTAAGAAGGACATGTAGACAGACAGCAAAGAAGCAGAAATACGGGTATTTTTTATATTGCTGTGCTCTTTATCTATCTATCATCTATCTATCATCTATCAATCAATCATCTATCTCTCTGTGTGTGATATGCACATATTCATGTGGATGAATGTGTGTGTGTGTGTGTGTGTGTGTGTGTGTGTAGGCCAAAGGTTGGCATCAGGTGTCCTCCTCGATTGCTATCCACATTATTTTTTGAGACAGAGTCTCTCACTGAACGTGTAGCTCATTGACCGACCTAGCTGGCTAGCCAGTATTCCAAGGATCTGCCTGTCTTTATGGCCCCTCTCCAAGCCCCAGGATTCCAGATGCACACCACCATGCCCATCTTTTTATGTGGTACTGGGGATCTGAACTCAGATCCTCAAGCTTGAATGGCAGGCACTTTACCCACTGAACCCCCTCCCCAGTCCTTATTACAGTTCTCTGTAGTAATGTTTTCTCCTACAGCAGAAAAGTAAAATCTCATATTCAGAGATGACTATCAAAGAAGAAAAAAATGAGAGCTAGCTGAGGCATTGTGCAAAAGGAAGGGTGGTCTTCAGGCTGGAAAATTACTTCTTAAACAAGAGAAACTAAGGTAATTCCAAGAGATGAAGGGTTTTAATTGCCCTGTGGTAACGGTGACTCACAGCAGACTAGGAGAGTCTAATGTGTAAAGAAACTTCACTGTTAGGAGCAATCTGACTTTTCATGGATCTGAGATTGATCTGTCCTTGTCATAGTTGTTCTTTACTTTTGTTGTTGAACAAGGCTGTACCCTAAGTCAAGGAAAATGACTTCAACACACATAATACTATGGGCTAGCTCAGCATTCCTAAACATCCCACCTTTCTACATGATTTGGGCTCTTTTCCCTTAAATAGAGAAAGGCTAACTATCCATGTGTGTTGGGATTGACGTTCCATTAATGAATAAAGTAGTATTGACCTTGGAAGTGCATGATGAATTCAAGGATGGAGCCATTAGTTGTCCTTGAGTAAGGAGGCATCAGACAGGAAGGGCTTTATGAAGGGCTCAGAGTGGGAGAGTGGGTTGTGGTGAAAAGTGTGTAGGCCAGTAAGGAGGTGCACATCACGGTAGGTAGAGGAAGCTCTTACACAGTGACAAGCACAGCAAGGAGAGTGATGGACAGTGCTACAGATGACTACGTTCTAATCCAGATTCCTTTCATTCTTATCCATTCATTTTAATCTTATTCATTTAGTCTTCATACCAAATCTATGAGGTAGGTGTTAGTGGTGACTCGTTATACAATTGAGGAAACAGTATAGGCGCCCGAGTTCAGAGGGAACAACCTCAGGGTCGCCTGAGGATGAGTACAACTCCTTTCCTTTGCCAAAACCAGACCAGTGATGCAGACAAGGCCCCTTTTCTCTTACAACATCAAGGTAAGACAGAGTGGAAGGAAAGTCATCACCCCAAAATGATGTCAATAAATAGAGTTCCAATAGCCTATCAGCATGAGGATAATGAAAACCAATCAGGGTAATACAGATCTCTTTCCACAAGATTAACTACGACCAGACCAGGGATGGTGTTAGCCTTGTTTCTCTGCACCTAGCCTATGGAAGCTGCCACACACACGACACCATTCCAAAGACTTGCTGCTTGTGTTGATGCAGCCGCAGCAGCCCTCCCCTTCCCTGCTGCACAGCCATAGTTGGTAGCCCAAGATTTCGCTGAGGAATTTCTTCCCAGTTCAAGTCAGTTTAGGAAGAACATGGAGAAAAAAAAAAATTGAATCAACAATTTAGAATTAAGGGGATTTGGGAGGTAATTTCCACCAGCAAAATATAACACTTAAAGCAATTTCTGAAGCAGAAATCTTTACCACTCCAGCACTTTTTCCTGACAGCTCCCTGACTCATACTTCCTCTCCCCTGATTCCT